CCCCCAAGCCACTCTCCATGCAGCACTACAGAAGCCAAGAATTTCAGCCTGTGGGAGGCTTGGCATGCACTGACTTTGTGCAGGGGGAACAGGCAGCAAAGTCTCAGGCACTTGTGCCAACTGGGACCACTGGTGACTCTTAGCCATGGGTTAATAATTTTCTCGTTTAAAAAAGCGCTTCTGCTCCAGCACAAGTCAAGGAGTTGATGGTCTGCTTAGAGGACTCATAGACTGGCCTTTCTGCTTTGCTGTAGAAGTCACATCTCGGCAGAGGAAAGTCATGTCTCTGCAATGGACCAGCACGTAGCTTAGGGTCCCACCATGTTCAGCTGGGACTGCAGCAATGAGTGCGTGCCATGTCCTTCTGTGTCCTGTGCTGAAGAGCCCCACAGGCCTGAAGGGCCAGAGGAGGGCACAGCCTGCTCAGAACCCCTCTGAAATGGGGATGAGATACGGATTTGCTTGCCTGTCTTGTATACGGGATGAAAGGGGAACTCGCCCTCTGGGATGGGAGAAATAAATGGGATCTGGATTGTGGGAAGAAAGAAGGTTGAGGACCTCTAGGTTAGGGAAGGGGTGGGAGCTGTGATTCTGGGATTTTTCATACCAGTTAAAATGCTTTAAAAATTGATAAAATCTTTCAGTATTTTGTCTTCTATTGTTCTAGTATCAAGGATGCAAGTATGTCCTGAAGGCGTTTGCTAGAGCTGTGACCTCTTTGCTTCCTCCCCTCCCCACTATTGTTTTTTGCCTTAGCTGAAGAAGGCTGCTTTTTTTAGCCTGGTACATAAGCAGAGGACTTAACATTGGGTGTGATAGGAGAGAACTGTGGGTTGATAACAGTGCTTTGCTATGTCTCTTTTAATCCGAATTAAAACTTATATTAATGCACTGTTTTTTATAGCATTCTTATACTAATTTAATTGCTTTCCTGGAGACTTGTCTTGCTATCATTTCTGTCAGTTACTTATCTTTTAAGTTAGTTCCTAGCACGCAAGTTTTTTTCATTAGCACACATTTTTTTTCATTATTTGATTGAGTTAACATTATGCAAAGTGCCTTCTGTTTTTTAAGGTGGATGTCTTTTTTCCCTCACTCAAAAACTGATTCTCAATATGTTTTGAAGCTGAGAATAGAGGGCTAAGCAAATGAAACTGTGTTAATTAATTTTTCAAAAAAAAATTAGTTCCTATACAAGTAGTCTATCAGTTGTATTGCAGGTATTTTTCAAGAAGCTTCTAGAAACCTAAAAAAAAAATGTTTAGAGTAAATAGTAAATTTAGTGATTCAATTTTTTTCATACAGTTTAAGACTTTTCACTGTGTTAGGCACCAAAAAGTTGAATTATTCAACTTTCTCTGTAAAACTCTGTTAGCTTGGAGAGCACAGACATATTTTACAGTCCTGCTCTCCTATTCAGGGGCACATTTGGTTTGAGGGTTTTTTGGTATGTATTTCGTTTTATTTTAAACTGTCTTCTCAAATTGATCAAGGCTTAAGAATGAAAGAAGAGAAACTTCCCAGTCAGGGTTTTTAAAAATTGTCACTGATAGACTTGATGAGGAGTATCTGTCACAAGACTCATCAGCACTTTGGTTTTGTCTCTGCAGCTGGTTAATTTTTTTTTTCCTCTTCTTTTTCTTTAAGCTTCAAGAGACAGTGAAAAGGAAGTTGGAAGGTGCACGTTCACCTCTCAATGGAGAACAGCAGAATGGAGTTTGTGATGGGAGCTTTTCTCCAACCAGCAAGCGGATACGGAAGGATGTACCAGGCATTGAGGCAATCAACAGCTTGTCCAATAACTTGCCTTTGCCCGCTGTTTCTCCTCTTCACCAGCTGGATATGAAAGCTCCCCTGCAGAACAGTGGAACTCATAATAGTGGTCTAGAAGACTTGGGTAAAAACGGTGGGCTTTCTGAGATAAAGCTCCCCGTTAATGGCTGCAACGAGCTAGATGATAGCTTTAATATCCTGCAGAACAAGGAGCTAAAGCAGGAGCCTTTGGATGACCCCAGCTGCATAGACACTTCGGAAACATCTCTTTCAAATCAAAACAAGCTCTTCTCAGACATTAACCTGAACGATCAAGAGTGGCAGGAGCTAATAGATGAACTAGCAAACACTGTTCCAGAAGATGATATACAAGATTTGTTCAATGAAGACTTTGAAGAGAAGAAGGAGCCAGAATTTCCCAGGCCTGCCACAGAGGCTCAAGAGAGTGCAAGTGTGAAGAGCGACCCATCTCATTCTCCATTTGCTCACGTCCCATTAGGGTCTCCCCAGGTGAGACCTTCTTCTTCCGGTCCTCCCTTTTCAAACGTCTCCACAGCCTCCAGCATAGCTTCTGTGTCCAGTGCCCCGCCAGCCCCAATCCCTGCCGGGTCACCAGGGAACTGTGTTGTTCAATCACCTCAAACTCCCGGGCAGGTCCACACCCCGGGGCAGACGCAGGCACGGCCTGGAAATGGCTATCTCATGAATCCAGCAGCTGCTGTGGCGGGGTCAGGACCTGGGCCTGTGAATATGCCAAGTGCTGACTTGTCTCCAGCTGAACAGCTCAAGCAAATGGCCGCCCAGCAGCAGCAGAGAGCGAAGCTCATGCAGCAGAAGCAGCAGCAGCAGCAGCATCCAAATCAAGCCTCGAGCTGGTCGCCTGCAGGGCCTCCATCCAGTCCGTATGGAGGACCCTTCAGTGCCGACAAACCAAATAGTCCAATGATGTATCCCCAAGCCTTTAACAACCAAAACCCAATAGTGCCTCCTATGGCAAACAATCCACAGAAGACCACAATTAATAACTACCTCCCTCAAAATCACATGAATATGATCAGTCAGCAGCCAAATAACTTGGGCACAAACTCCTTAAGCAAACAGCCCAATATGCTTTCTTATGGCAACACCAAACCTCTGACCCACTTCAATGCTGAGCTGAGTCAGAGGATGACCCCACCAATGCCAAATCCCAGCAAGAACCCTATGATGCCCTACATCCAGCAGCAGCAGTCCCAGCAGCCCCAGCTGCAAGCTCAGATGGCACACCTGAGCGAGGAACAGAAACGCATGCTCATCATGAAGCAGAAAGGAATGATGAATCAGTCCATGGCATATGCAACACTTCCTTCCCTTGGCCAGGTAAGTGCGAGTGCACGTCACGGGGGCAACAAAAATAAACAGGCTTGTAAAAAGGCTTAGTAACTCTTTGCATGGTCTCCTCCTTCCTTCTCTTTGTTCTGGAAAGCATGGAATATTGTTGTGGACAGTTTTGGGGCTTTTCCTGTGATATTGGAGCTTGATCTTTTTAAGAAATGACCAAAATGATATTGTGTTATGCTTTAGAAATGTTGGTAAATGGCTATTTTTCCTGAACTAGCGCTCTTGCCCTGTGCATCTGCTGATGAGTGCTTGGGGCCACTCGGGGAAGTTTCAGGTCAGCAGTCACTGCTCCTTGGAGAGTTTGTTTCCTTTTTTCATAATGTAAGACTTGATCCTTCTGGACTCCAAACCATTTCTAGGGTGTAGTTAGCATTGTAACAAAAAGATAGAGTGGTTGGCCCCTTCTTCTTGGGGCAGGGATCCAGCCAGCTTTAAGCAGCATATTTAGCATTTTGGCTCAGGGAACAAAGAAATGACATTTTGGGTTCTGAGGGCCTTTGGTTTCCACTGGAAGAAGCAAGGACAGCTGAATGCTTTTAGTGGTGCTTGAACCACGCATGAAATGAGATGGTTTATTCTCAGACTTTCAGTCTTTGGCTATTTCAAATACTTTATTGTAATGAATCTGAAGACTCTTTCAGTAAGAGGCTAAAGCCACATTGGCTTGAGTGACTTGGCAGCACTGCCTCACATGTATTCCATGCTAACCTTTGGAGTGAACAGGAGTGAACAAGTGCCAGGCTTGGGGAATGCTTTGGAATGAATTAATAACTGATTTTAATAATGGTTATAGTAATGTCCTGTTGCCTCCTAGGTTCAGCTGGGTATTTTTAGTTGCACAGCCCTCCTAAAGATCTGCACACTGGTGTCATGTAGAGGCTTCAGAATATATTTCTGAATGTTGTTTTAAGGGCTATGAAAAGAATTAACATTAATAATTAGTTCACAAAGTAGGTGATGCCTTCAGAGAAACTACGTGCCACCACAACGTGTCAGAAATTCTGATACAATAGTACACTAATCAAATGGTTGGTTGATAGATTTAGCATAATAGCTTTTAACCAAATTAGCTGTTTTCTCACCACCTACAAGGAGCACTTCCTTCTGAGCATGGTTTAACTATGAGTCAGACTGTAATGCATATAAAAATACAGCAAAATTTGTAATTTCTTCAGCCTGTGGAGTTTGGGGATCTACCAATAGGAGGAGTAGGAGCTTTGCCAGGTCAGAGCCCATCACATTATTCAAAATTAATTGCAAAACAAAAATAAATGTTCATGTGTTTTTGGTTCAGGATGTATGGTGACAGCTCAAAGGTTCGTATCTCAATTTTAATTCTGCTTGCCTATTGCATTAGAAATAGCTGGTCTAAAGGTGCCTCTTTTTGTGAAGACTTACCTAGAGAAATACTGCAGTAATGACATAAAACTCGGGCTGTAATCAGAGCTACAGAATTTTTCAGGTTGTTACTGAGAGGCAGAGAATATTTGGTCAGGCTGTCTAATGCTTTATAATTTCTTTGTTTTTTTGTTAAATTTGTTGAACTCAAAGACCCATAAGACAGTTGAGAGGACAAACTGCATATGTGAAAGAGTTAATGTCATCTCCTCCGTTTCCTAAGCTGAGAAATTAGTGTTGATATCTCACTGCAGTTCTCCAGTGTGAACAGGAAGCCAACATTTCATATATCTAATCTCATTCAATTACTTTTTTTTGATGTAGGAAAAAGTAGATATTTGGATACAACTAAACATTCTTCCAAAGTCAAGTCCTGATATTTAGTAATTTCTTTATCTTAAAAGAAGGCAAAGCTTTGTTATAATATGTTTGAGTCACATTTATTGACCCAGTCAGGACAAGAGACTTCTTGCTTGTGTGTAGATGTATAAATGTCCTTTCACTACTTTTGAAGCCCACTTGCCTACACCTAAGGGATTTTTTTTGATGAGGAAAGTTGAAATAATAGATTTTTAAGTGAAAAATATGTTTTTATTCTTTCCCTTCCTGCTTCCCTGAGAAGCATTTTTCTGTGGAAAATTGGAAAGCTTATTATTATGAGATGTGTTTGCTGGAAATGGATTGTTTTTGCAAAGGTGGTAAGAATGATTTGTTGATGTTGTTGAGTTAAATCCAGACTGATGCAAATTATCAATTTCTGCTACTTGCTGCACAAAGCAGATGGTCAGGTTTCCAGATCATATATGGAAAATAAGGAGATTGCACTCTTCAGTTTGGAACACATTTCTGAATGTAAAATGAATGTATCTTTCAGTCAGCTTATAGCTTCTACTTTCATTATAATTTTGGGTTTTGATACAGAACTGTAAAAGTGTATGTGTGTTAAATAATCATGAGTGTTTAACAAATGGCATGTAGGGGAAAACCAATTCTAGATATTGCATCTCATGATTAGCACTAACGATCTATTTCTCTCAGGTGACTATGACAAGGGAGTTACTATTCAAGAGTCAAATACAATTTAGGGAACGTCAGACATACAGAAATGCCTTATTTCCTGTGTAGTGCTGTAAAATTCAAGTATGGCTAGTTGTGTGCATGTGTGTATACATGCACTACACACACTAATTAAGCCTATGTCCTGTTCAGCCTAAGGTACTTTTGTTAATACCAAGAATTTTTACATGCAGTCATCTCTTCAGTCATTGAGTGTACTATATAGAGAGACACATTTTTTCAGTCCAACCTGGTCCTTGCAAATGCTCTGAGGAGGGCAGTTGCCCATAACTGTTCTGTTCATGTGTTGCTGCTGATGCCCTGGGCTTGTGTCCTGCGTTTGCTGAACATCACTCTTGTAAGGAGAGGTGAGCAGTGAGAGAGGAAGCTGTGCAGCTCAATATCCAGGTTGGACAGGCAGAATGCTAAATTAGCAGCTTAGCTAGCAAAACTAGTATCCAACAAAAGCAGGATTTCTCTACAGGCTTTATACACTGTCAGCATTGAAATGCTTCCTGACAGACACGTTAGTCCTTTGCTTTGCTGTGCAGATCCAGGTCTGATCCTGGCACTGTGGTTGTAACCCCCATCACACTGTTGCCAGCTGACCCATACGCCTTCAACCACGGACCCCTGTTTATACTATAGCTTGTTCTGTTCAAAGAGGTGCTGGATGGGATACTTCTCTGTTTTTCCACAAAGGAGATACTGTTTTGGATTGTTGAGTTGGAGAGTTTTCCCAGGTTAGCCTGAAGGTAATTCAGTTCGCTTTTTGTGGAACTGACTTCTAAAATCATGGTCAGATCCATCTATGTTCAGCAAAAACCATGGTGGGATCCTGACCCATCTATCTTCAGCAAGGCTCTGTCCTGCTAGTAGTGTTCCCTCGTGCCTGGCTGTTCTCTTTGCCTTGCGACACGTACCCTGATCTGCCCTGAACCCAGTTCTTAGTCAGATACTGCCCTTTAGCCTCTTGATTCTACTGGGTGGCTCTTTCATTCTTGCTTATCTGCATTTATAGGCTAAAACAGCAAGTACAGATTTTCACTGGGGCTGATAACTTGTTAGGTGCTTGATGGCTAGAGGTCCTCAGCTATTCTGGTTCCCATGTGGTAATAAAAGAAATTGGTTTCAAACCAAGATGCAACAGAGGCCTTGCATGGGCTTTTTGTGTGATTTAAGATCACATAAATTAATCTTTTATTAAGAAATAAAAACAAGCAAGCCTTAAACCAACCTTCTCTCTAAAAAATTAGGGCTTTCTTTAATCTAAAATATTCCATTCAGTTTTTGAGGTGTATGTAAGGTTTTACAGGATGCACTTTTTTTTTTTTTTTTAAGCCAAAAATTAATTTCAAAATGGGGAAAAGTGAAGATATTTGCTTTGGAAAATGTCAGTATCGTTAGTTGTGCCTTTTCTTGGTTCCAGCTGTTTAATATGTACGTGTAATGGTAAGAGCAGCCCAATGGAATAGATTTTGAATGGCAGAGATGGAATTGGATGTTTGGAGCCAAGTGAGTGAGGGAGAGGTCAAAACAGAATTCTCCATGAGTGTAAGAAAAATAAAACTGGACTGCAGCTCTGCCTGCATGGGACAGATGCTGCATGAGGATGCTGCAATTATAGTTCTTATAGAAACCACTAGTTATGTTGTTTGAAATTGGAGGAATCTGAATGGAGAAATTACACCATACTAGAAGAATATCTTAAAATTGAATTTTCTGTCTTTTGTTTCAATCTTATCAATTCAAGATGTGTCAATTGCTCAGTCTGGTTTTGCATGTGACAGGGGGAAATCTGTGTCCAGAGAACATTTCCAAAATGTAATTGTCCTTTCTAAGTAAAAATGTATTTCTCTCACTGGAGTTGTAAAAGAGATTTTATACTTTTATGAAGGTTATCTTTGGGAGAAACGAGAAAAAGAGATTGTTGATGTTCTGGGATTTGGCCTTTTTTAAAAGCCTACCTGAAAGTAAAGGACAAAGTCTCCAGATTTGTATTCACCTCATGAAAGTGTGGCAGAAACACAACTGTCTTACCAGATTTTCAAGGAGACAAGCTGGAATGGATATGACTGAGACTGTGAGGATCACTTGCTGAACAGCTGATAGAGTTGTAGTGAGTGCCCATCTATGCTATTTCACTCATAGCCACTGTTTTCCACAGAAGGTTTGCCATGAAGTTCAGAGGCAATGCCTGTCTTTTACAAATGCCAAAATTTGCTCCCCAGAAGTCAGTCTCCCATAGACTCTTGAGGACAGATGGGCAATCAGAATGTGTTTGGTGAATTCTGACCATCTTGCCAGGCAATTTGTAAACAGTAGCCTGGCTGTCTTACCATTCCT